AGATACGATTGGGTAACGATCCATGGAAACATGAACGTTTCAGATTGCGTATCTTCTATTCAAATTTATGACCAGCTGTCAGAGCACTGGTGCCCCTCACTCCCCAAGAGGGATTGCTCTTTGCCAAACTGTAATGAGCAGATTATGGGTGGCGCTAGAAAAAGTATGGGACTCTCTGAGAAATTGCAGTGCATCGTATTAACTTCTCTGTGATGTTAGCAATTCCCCATCACATTGTATTACCAATCACTGTCACTAATATACCATGAAATTCAGATGTATAATGTAGTGTACAACTCAACCTCTCATTTCAAAGGTTTGTTACCCATAATCCTGCATGAGTCATTAGTAATGTCACTGAACAGAGTAAAACTCATTCACTTCTTGCAGTGTTTCCCCTGCTGGCAAATAACTGACATATTATATGTGGGCACAATGCTTAATTCTCCAGAGAGCTTTGATTGTGGCGTTGTGGAAAAGTGGGCCTCTTTAATGGGCAATCAGGTCGACATAAAGCCCTCCACTACCCCCAGTCTACATGACCTGCTGGATGGCTGAGCAGCTGGGTACACTCATAAAGCATCTATTTGCTTTCTTTAAATTATTTATCTATTAAAATGTTGTTTGGGGTACTTTAAAGGCAATATCATGCTAAAAGGTAAAAACATGCACTCACCAAGAATGGAAGAGCTTAAGGGTAGGCTTAAAATTTGGGGGAAAACTTTGATTTTTGTAAGACTTAGTCTCACTTGCAAAAGTAATTTAGAGGTTTGTGGCCCAAGTTTGGGGATGAAGGTAAGTACCCAGGTCCCTCAGGAATGAGCAGCACAGAGGAGCGAGGCACACAGCCATTCATCTGGAAATGAGGCACAGTGAAACCCAGCTGTTGCTGGAAATGCTCCCTTAGTTTTAATTGCAGGGAGAAACTCTCAAGGCAGGCTCAGCAGAAGGTTTCACAAGGAAAAGGACTGATTCATCCTGCAAAAAGAAAAGGGATGGGTTTAAAGAGTCTCAGCTTACTTGTTGGGTTGTGGTGCTTCACAGGTGGCTTTGACCTTTACCATAAACCTATGTTGGGCCAGTTCTCCTACCTGGGGAGGTCATCTTGAGCTGTGATGCTGTTGCCCAGAGTGATATACCCCTTTTCAGCCATGCATTTGCAGTTTTGTGGGTGAACTAGCCATTCTGCCAGCAGAACAATGGGCTACAGGACAGGGCTGTGTATGACACTGAGCTGCAGACAATAATTTTGAGAGATTAGATTTGTGGTAAATTTTCATTTAGCTTCCATTTCCTCATTTTGCTCACGTGAAAGTTAAATGGGATGGTGTCACAAGCCTTCCTGAGCCAAGATGTATCACATCTACCGCTCCCCTTTGGCTCCGTGCTAATTATCCTGACAAATTGGTTTGCCGTGATTTGCTTGGGAAATCTGCTGGTCCTTTCCCACCTTCTTACTGTCAGACTACACACATAATGCTTGGTTGCTTTACCTGGTCTTTCTGCAGGCAGTGGTTTTTCCAGTGGGTCTGTGCCTCCTGCAGAGCCACGGGGCATCATCCTACACAGAAACCTAGAGAATGGTGCTGTGAGTGAACCTCAGAGCCTGCTCCTCCAGCAGCAGAGAAGGTGGGTGTGGTAATGATATGCTGTGCTGGCAGGTTAGAGCTGATGGTGGTCATCTGTGGAGGTGACTGTGCTCTGGATCTGCAGCCTGTGTCTGCTGAATGCCAAGGTCGTCCTTCCTTCTGGTTCACCTTGTTTCCCAGCTGAGATAAAATATCTGGAAATGCCACTCTCTTCCTGATTTCTAGATTAGAAACACATTAATAGGTTGCCTATTTATTCCATTTCTTGTTTAAATTAGTAATCCTTTTTATATGTTTTATTTTTAGTCCGTAATGTAAGCTTTTTCTTTTTTTTTTTTTTTTTTCACCATTCTTGCATCAAGCCCAAGATCAGGTCAAGAGCTTTTTGTCTGGCAGGTCACCCTGTTCATGAAGGCAACTCTGACAGGCTGATGCTGCAGCATGTTTGAGGCATTTACAGAGAAAACTCACATTTGAAGTAGGAGGTGAAGTTCATGGCAGGCTGAGCAGCAGAGGGGCTGTGAGATCACTCATGAAGGCATGGCTGAAGTCTCTTAGCCGGGCTGTGTGAAGGTGCTGCAGCTGAATTCCCACCTTGCACAGCTGATGAGGCAGCAGTTGTTAATGCTGAGGTGCAGTGTGGATTTTCCCAGCAATAATGTGACAGGCCCCGTGGTTCCTGCATTGTCAATTCAAGTACTATAGCCTGTCATTCCCAATTTATTTCATGTAATCTCTGCAGTCTCCATATTTGCTAATGTCACAATGGTGATGAATCTATTCTTGTTCCTTAAAAGGATGCAAAAGAGGGACATTAGAGCCAGCACAGCTCTGTTAAATACCTCGTTTCAGGGCGTATCAGAACTACAATCTGGTTTTTACACACAACTTGCTAAAAAATTAATTTAATGGAGTACACGATTATTATGAGTGATGCTTGTGATGGTAACATACATGACATTTTCCTCTGTATGATCTGGCTGAGTGACAGTTTATGACCTGATTTGCACACCAATAGTTTTGCCTGTACAAATAACTGGGAAGATAGACTCAAAGTGCAATTAAAAATGAGAGCCAAACTGTTAGCAGTTTAAATCAGACTAAATACATACCAGCCAGGGAATGATAAAGCATCAGTGACACTATCAGTAACTTACAGTAAATTAACTTTTGCAGCCTGGCCTGGTCTGAGTGTCACGGAGCAGGAATGTGTTATCTGGCAAAAGCTTGATCCCACGTCTGGGTGCTCTGTGATACGGAGGGATAGTCAGAAACTTTCAGCAAAACAATTTCTCATCAGAAAATATTCGTTTATCTGTCCCAAAACTTTCAGCAGAGAATTCTAACTTTGGCAAAGCACAAGGGTTATGGCATTCACCAGTGAAGTTTGTTATCTAAACCTTATTTTCTGAAGCCCTGTGTGAGTGCTCAGACTTCTGACACCCAGGCTGCACTGGCTGGCTCTCTCTCAATCTCCTATTCTTCAGAATTCAATTTTGACACTTTTGAAGTTTTGGATCTATTTCTGGCTGCTTCTACCAGTGTATCCCTGCTTGGTGTTTAAATGGCAGGAGGAATAGCAAGGAAGCCTTCCCTTCAAATCCCAGTTCAGCTCAGCACTTCTGTAAATTTGAGAATTTGCATAAAAACACCAAGCCTCTGCTGCAGTTGCTAAATTGGGCTTTAGGAGAAAATGATTTTTTAAAACCTTAGAGTAAAATGGAGGGATGTCTACAAGCCTACATATATCTTGAATCTACATGCCTGTTAAAATTTTCTGATCCTAAAGCCCAAAATTGCTCAGAGGTGTTCAGATAAGCAAGATGTTTAAAGGCCTGTCCAAATACAGCTGCTGATCTGTGGGATCCAGGAGAAAGTAAAACTCGAACCATGCCTAATTTTTAGGCAATTGTGTTTATTATGAGTCATGGTGGGGTTCTGGTCTTGTTCTAACCTCTAACAATTTTTTCTGCTCAAAAGTTGTTCTGGGGCTGCTACATATGGGTGAGGCCACAAAGATGGTCTTCGGAGCTGGGAAACCAGCAAGGCAAGTAGTGCCTTGGCTCAGTGCACGGGGCTTTTGCAGAAGAGAGTGAGCTCAGCTGCGCCTGGAGATCTCATCAGCACAAACCAGTGAGCTGTTCCCTCTCCCTACATGTTGTTCCATTGTGACACTCATTGCTGTGGGAGGCTGAGGTGGCCAAATGGTGCTTTAGAAGGTGCAAAAAACAATTAGATTAGTTCATGGCAGAGTGATGCAGCAAGGGCTGTTACACACCAGGAGACTGAAAGTCTCTAAACCCAGATTACTCGGGCCCATCAAAGGACCTCAGGCAATTAGTGTGAGTTTGTCCTGTTCCTAAGCTTTTCTGTAGACATCCACAACTATTTGGTGTTAGAGACAGGGTGCTGGGCTAGAGGGACTGGTGATCAGAGCCAGCCTGACCATTCTCATAAAGCAAAAGGAGATGGCTTGTTTTCATCTCTGCTTTAGGCAGCTCCTGATGTGAAATCTGTAGGATCTCTTGGGTAAGTGATGTGAGCTCTCAGTGTCTCTGAAAGCCGTTTGTGTTACAAAGAGCCTCAGCTCTCTGTTAGGAGACACTCCTGAGGAAGCTGGCAGTCATTCCTGTGCCCTGCTGGAGAGCATCATGTGTGTGCTGGGCTCTGCATTCATTCAAGTTAGTAAAGAGAAGATATAAAAAAAGCAGAGGGTAATCTGGCAATTCCAGTGTCACCAGGAGCTGATCCCAGAAGTTCAGCATAATCACCGAAAGAGGAGAAAATCCAGGAGATTTTGCTGGAACTGAGCAAGAGCTTGACAGCTGGCAAATGCTAATGTAAGTAGGCAACTGGGAGCGAGGGGTGGAGGGAGGGTGGTATCATTTATCATCGCTTACAGAAGTGCCATTTACGTTTGATGAGAGCCTGTAGAAAACCTGCCCCTCCTTGCTCAGCCTCCCTGCCCTGTCACACGTGTCTGCCTGCCCAATCCTACCATGCCTGTGGGTGTTTTGGTGCTTGTGGAGTTCACCTAATGCAAAGCACCTCCAAGTGCAGCCTCGGTTCTCAGTGGAGGAGAAATGGTAGCTGATGCAGGGCTGGCACAGAGCAGAGCTGGCTGTCCAGCCTCAACACACTGGCATATTTTTCTCATGTGAATCTCTGCTCAAATAGGCAGTGTCTTTCAGGTGAATAGAGCCTGGCAACACTGGTGTGTGGCTGTTGTGCTTTTTCTACTGGCAAAGTTTCCTGGTTGTAAGCAGTCATTGGGTTCTCTGGACACTCACCATCCAATTTCACTTCTGCCTAATGCCTCTCTGGTCTTCTGGAAGGACTTCATCACCAAATGAAGCCAAATAGCCAAATCTTTTTTTTTTTTTTTTTTTGGTAGTGTCAAATCTGGTGGCCCTTTTTGTTGTATTTGAAGTAAAATTCTGACATGAATATCAAGCCCAAAGCAGTGTTCCTGCAGCAGTGAGTCAGTGCCAAGCATCCATGCTGGGCTGCAGACAGGATCTACCCCAGCTCGTTACACGGTTGTATCAGGGTAGTGTGCACAGTATTTATCCAGCAATATCCTCTTCTGCACCTAGGAACATTTCTCTGGCTATTCTCCCTCTCTGTACAATTAACTATTTAGCATTTGACAGCTCAGAAAGGCTTGATTGTGTTCCAGCAATGATCTGTGAGCCTGTTCCACAATCTAATGTTCCAAAATTGCTCCCTGGCCTCCATTTACAGCAACCTTGTCCAGAAGCAGTTGGGCCATGTTCACATTCTAACATCAAAATTGTATTTTTCTGCATCTAAATAATATTTTTTTGTCTAAAGATAAGGTTTTTTGGTCTTAGAGCTGCTGCTTTGATATTTCCTGTCACATGTACCTCATCATGTTAAATATCCATGCTGGATATTTCCTCGAGGAAAAGAAAAAATAGCGAAGATTGTAAGTGCAAACCACATTCCTTTCTCATTTCCTGACTGACATTGTGCTGTTCAGAGTTTCAGAGGTATTGTTTCCTATCGCAGACCATATGTACCATGGGATACACTCCAGTAATTCTCCATAGAGGCTTAATATTGAACAGATAAAAGTAATGTTAAATAATCAGATTTACAGGAAACTGTTTTGCTTTGTTGACCATATTAATAATAAAGTCCTGCAGAAAGGGGACATCTGGGTTTCTGTAATCCAGCCTGCTTCTGTGCAGGTTACTTTTGGATTCCTGTGAAATGTTTAGCCTTAAAGTTCTTAATGATGACTTGTATTTGGATGCTTTTGCAATCGTCCCTGAAGCGACACCTCACCAATGATAGGCTTCAGGAGCTCGTGGGTGTGTTAATTTGAATTAATTATAGCAGATTTGACTTGCCTTTGCTATAAAATTGACTTGCTTAATTCACCCAGTAGAAGTTGTCACTATTAAATCCAGAAGGTTTATGAGGATAGAGATCTTGGGATTCCAGTGATCCTCCTAAAAATTTAATTAGATAGAGCTGAAATCAGTCAAACACGAAGTCCCATGCCTGTATTTAGGATTGATGGTCATCCATAAATCCAGGTGCATGCACATCCCAAACATGCCATGATTTGACATTATTCTAACTGGGAAGGTGTGGAGATCCCTGATCTTCTGGGGAACTGTGTTAACTATGGACTTTCACTTTGTGTTTCCAAAACCAGCAATAAGTGGTCCTGGCAGGGAGAACAGAGATGTCTGTGATATTTGTCACTTCACTAAGTGAGAGCCATGATGGGGACAACTTCATCAACCAGCATGATGGCTCCTGGGAGCTGAGGCTGCAGCTGGAGACCCTGAACTGGCAGACCCTCGAGGCAAGCGGTTATCACATGGCAAAGGACCAGCACCAGCTGCTTTGGTAAATTAAAATGTAAGAGCAGTTTCCACAAGACTTCTCAGCTCTTGGGATATCCCTGTCTTTGGGAGGGGAGGAGCAGGCTTGTGCTGAGCTCGGAGACACTGGAATACTCTGGACTGGGAATCCTGGTGTGCAGCTACAGGGCTGGCAAGGGTTCTTCCTATGGTCTGACAAGAAGAAAGCTTAATCAAAGGCCATACATTTTAAGGGTTATTTTTTACCTGGTGTGCTGATGTTTCCCTAAGGAAAACGCTATATTGAAATAGCAGTGCTGAGCCAGCAGCCTCTCTGTTTTTGCCTTTCAAATCTAAAAACCAGAGGGGATGGCAGCCAGGGTTCATGCTAGGAACACATCAAGTGCATAACAGGAAAAAAAAATCAAACTACCATAAAGAAATATATTTTTAAAAGGAGAGAGAAGACCGTGGACCCTGGCTCTTGGGGTTTTACTTGGGTGGTCTAGAGAGGTTAGACCAGGAGTCCTGTGTGCTTTCCCTGGGCTGTCCCTGCAAAGCCACTACTCTTTGTGCTGGAATAGTCACCAAGTCTTCCACGTCACTGGGAAAGATTTCCACTTCAACCCTCCCAAAAAAAAAAAAAAAAAATTTTTTTTCCTACCTGAAGAATATGTAGAGCAGGAAAGAGAGATGGAGTTCTGTCAGCAATTCCTGAATGAGGTCTTATGTGAGGCTTCTTGCCTTTCCATGAGAATGGGAGAATTATACACTGCCCTGCTGGGTCAGGCTCTAATATCCTGCCCACATACATGTATGGCTAATTTCTCTTTTTATATTCTTAACATTAAGACACTTCACCCCTAGATTAACTCTGCTGGTAATTCTCCTTCGTTGGTGCCTGGGACACTGTGCTATGTAAGCTGCATTTTTATAGCTAAGATGTGGAAAAAAAATTTTGTCCTTTCACATGAGATTCTCTTGGGCTTTGTCTTCATTACCCTCTGAGTGTGTCTGAGATGGCAAAAAGATCCACACCTGCTCATGAGCACAGCCAGGAGAGTTTCGTAGTGGCCATGCTACAATTTTGAGAAGAGGCTGCTTTCTTCTACATAATTAAATGTTGTTTGATTATTAAAATTATTCTAATTTAATTAATTTAAATCCAGTTGGAAATTAAATAACAGCTTTGATGGGGGACACAAAGTGCCATTTCAAAATAGGTAAGAGCAGGTTTGGGGACTCTCCATTGTACAGGAGGCACAAGGGTTTACAAATGTGCTGTGTTGCTCCAGAAGCCCTCACAGGCCACTGATGCAACTTTCTCATCCTCAGAATGATTAAATGATCTATATGGCAGGCAGTGTGTGTAGGAGAGGTGGCACAATCTGAACTGCAACTAAGACTGGAAACAGTGCTTATTAAATCCTCAGGCTGTTTGGCATGTAATAAGAAAACTGAGGCTAGATAACCTGTAAATGGGTTCATTAGAATAACATAAGCATTGTTTAAGCTGTGTTTTCTGGGATAATCTATGCGGTCCAGCTAATACAGTTGAAGACTTTGGCTGCATCCTGTTTTAGACAATCATCATGGATCAGCATGGAATTTAAGAAACAAATAATTATGGGGAAATGGACTCAAGATAAAAATTTTGCAATTAAGTTCGCTGAAATTGAAATGACTGGATATAGCATGGAATGATGAAACTCAGGATGGGTGAGATGTGATGAATGGGAAGAGAAGTCCGAGTGGCTCACTGAGCTCCCACTCCCCTGTGGCAGGGATGATGCAGACCTGGAAGTATGTCCAGGGATATCTTTGCAGGAAGATATTCAAAGTGATATTTCTTCCCTGCATCTTGGTATTCTGAGGATTACCAATTAGCAATGATCTGTGGTTAGAGTAATTCCATATTTCATTTGCTGTGTTTATTGTATAGGGCATTAGCACACCAAGTAATGAACCTGGAGCAGCTGAGTGATTTGGCTGAGGGTTTGCTCAGGTGATGAAGGTGGTTGGTCATCAATTATGCTTTTGTTGTTCAAGAAAATGCTAGTTTCTAGGAGCATTAGTTTCTGTGTGTGTATTTACTGTGGAAAGCAATATGCTCTAAGGTTATTTTATTCTAAGTAGTTCTAGAAGTCCCAATATTGGAAAAATGAAACTTAAAAGTTATGTTGCCTAAGATGTTTTACATTCATTTTAATCATATTATTCTTCCTTTTATGAAGCATCTCTGTGGTGCTCATAAACCACAGGAATTGATGTAATTTCCTTTGACTACAAGTTTACACGGTAAGTCATTAGATTCAGAATTTGCCTGTTTCTTTATGAGATTTAACATCTGACTTTGTTTTTGCCTTAAAAACATTTTCCACAACTTTGTGCATAGACAAAGTCCATTCCCTGCTCTGGGCATCCTTCCTGCCTGTCAGAAATGCACATAAAAACCAGTCATCAATTATCTCAATATCAAGTCAAATAACCCCACAACTACACGAAGGCAATTAAGATAAACATGCTCACAAACCCCAACAGATTCCACCCAGCCCAGCAAACCTCCTGGAAGATAATTAGTGTGAGAAAGGTAGATATTTGACTGTAGCATGTGTCTTTTCTATAAAATTACTGGGATTTTATTTTCCTTTCTTTTTCCTTCCAAATTTCTTTCAGGTGTTTGGTGTGCACCAGCTGGTTTTTTTTCCTGCCTTAGGAGTTTTCTGAATTTGCATGTGTTTTTAACTGTCTGCTAAGGGCTGTCTGTCCATGAGCTCCTGGGCAGACACACATCCATTCCTGATGAAGATCCTGTTTTCTTTAGGCTCCCCCCTCAGCTCCACCTTTGGCTCATGGAGTATGTGTTAATTAACAACCCTGCTGGCTGTAAGATATTCCGCATGAAGAAAAACAGTACAAAGTTACAGTGATGAAAACTGCAACTAAAATTTGGTTCACAGGAATGAATCAGTGTTTATTTAATGACTAATTGCCAAAGGAGGTACACATGTACACATACATGAGAAAAATCAATATGGTGGATGAATCCCCTTCTATTTTGCAGTCAAGGACAATTAATTTCTAATGACCATCAGCATTTGCATGTTGGAGCATCAGATAGGAGGAAGGACAATAACTGTTCCAAAAATATGGCTTATGCAGAAGATCAGAACACCAGTTTTGTACTGTTGGGTCTTTCTGATCGAAGTCTAGGAAATGTAAGAGAATTTCACTGAGAAAATTGAGCTGAGGACTTTTTGCAAAAAAAAAAAAATTTATATATTAAAAAGTGCTTCTAATGACATCTATTTTCATGATAGTGTTTTGTGGAATGAATGGCTTGGACAAAAGCGCTGATAAATCGCCCGAAACGAGACTGCCTGACACTCAAATAGCTGCTAATGGTAGGTAGCTCCTTGACTTCTTGTTATATTTCTTTCATTTAATCCTTCTCAGACCATTATGCAGAAGGACAGTGCTTTGCTTAAAGGGTTATCAATGTCATCAGGCACCGGAAAAGATTTGGGGATGTTTTAAACACCTTTTTTGCAGATGGGACTAACATGTCCTATTGAGAGTCAGCAGAGTCTCACTGAGGTTGGAAACTTTGGAGAGGACATCTGGAAAGGCTTTTTCACTGCTTCATAGTGGTGAATCTCCCCGGGAGAGGGGAGTTATCAGCAGTCACTCCATCACGAACCACGCAGGACATTTTCCATTTGAACTCCTATTTCTGCTCCTTTTCCAGGGCAATGATACTTACAGAGTAGGAGTTAAAATCTCTCTTAATCTTAACGGTATCTTTGGACTCTGCTGCCCTAATCTTGCCTTGCTTCCCTCGGGTGTTTCTATAGCAACTCCCTAGGGAGTTTTCCTGTTATCTGGATGAAGTTAACTGGAAACAAGTAAATATACTTGAGATGAAGTGGTGTCAGAGAAGACTGATGAGGCCTTCAGAGCGTGGTCTGGAAAAAAGCTGAATTACTTGCAGAACTTACCTCACTGTGAGAGGCTTGAAGCTCCTGCAGTCGAAGATTGTGCCTAAAGTGCATTTGCCCTCTGTGGTGCCAGCACAGTCCCAGGTAAAAGCACATTTTGCCACATTAATACTAAAGCATACGGAGCCCAAACCGACCAAGCCTGGAGGAGCCTTGCCGGGGAATGGGATTTTCACAGGCAGTTTGAGAAGATTGATTGTCCCTGTTCCAACCAAATTATAATAAACCTGGTGTCATGTCTCATTAGCAGGTGTCTCTGTGTGGTTTCATACCCTGTGGGTGAGATCCATCTCCCAGCTCATCCAGGGTCTGCCAGGGTGAAGCAACACCTTTACCACCATCCAACAGCACTTTGAGAGGGGCCGGATCTGGCATCGCCGCTCGGAGGAGGTGAAAGGATGGGCCTGGATAAAGGGATGCTCTAAATGAAGAGAGGTCCTTTCTGCAGCTTTCTGTAAGGAGCTGGGCTGTTGTGGCAGCTTTTCTCTGAATGAATAACCCAGATTATCCTGAGTCAGAAGATCTGGGTCCCAATCAAAAGCCTGTTTGCTTCACTCTGCCTCTCGTTTCCAGGCTGTGGATCAGACTTTGCCAGGCTGGTGTTGTGACTGACATTAATAGGCTTTTCCTTTGTGTTTTAGACCACCACAGACCAAGGTGTTGGCAGACCAGCAGCTATTTGAGAGCTTCCAGACCTTTGCTAGTCGGTGAGCATCTCTCTTTGAGCTTGAGAAGCGTCTCCCATGCAAAGCTATGACCTCCTGCTGCTGTAACCCCGCGGGAGGGAAACCTACCTCCTTTGCAGCCTGAGCTGCAGATACCAGCTGGCTCCTTCCCCTGCTTTAATTTTTTTGATACCAGCCGTGGGTTGCTTATCATTGGTTCTGATCCCTAAAGCCAAGATGCTGATTCTTATCTGCAGCTTCAGCCGGGCTTAAATCTTTATCTGCACTCAGTGAGTCTGAGCGCGGAGTGTGCAGAGACATTATTAGATTATTAAATCAATGACACTCAGGTTATTAGTCACACTCATCCGCATTACCTGACACTGTAATGACGTTCTATTTTTACTTCCAGCCTGCTAATGTCCCAGAGGCACCGAAATTATGACCAGAAAATTAATTTCTATACATTTGAACAAGAAATAGAAGTATAGGAAATAATCCCACATCAACAGTGTAAATCCTAATGGAGTTGTTTAGAAAAGCAACAGGAAAAGGGAGAGGGTTGAGAACGGCATCTTGCGTGCAGCCTTCCCTCTCTGCTGCCATGCCAAGCTCTTATGGGTATGGTGGCTGCTAATAACTGGGCCAGACTATTTTAGCTTGTAATTCATTTGGGGCAATTAGGACTCCTGAGCTGGCATTAACGATTTTCCTCGCTCAGCCAACACTTTCTTGCAGAATCCCTCCACCAGGATGTTGCAATGGGCTTGTTTTTCAGGCGTGAAATCAAGCCCAGTAAACAGGAAAAGGCCAGCACATGGCAAGATGTTGTTTATGTTTTCAAAAATGACTCCATAAGCTCAGGCAAATTATCATCCCAGCTCCTGGGTTGAGTTAAGAAGGGAGGCCCAATCTGATGACACCTGAAGACTGAATCCAATGTTATTTCTGCTTTGCATGACTAACCATCTGCAAGTCGGGAGGAATCTGTTACTGTGGAAAAATACTACGGGAGATGCTGAAAGTCCCGCCCCACCCTTGTCTAGCAGACCAGCACTGGCATCTCGCCCCTGCAGCAAGAGGGATGTAGAAATGTGGCTCTAAGGGCTCCACTCCTCACTTTGAACCCCTGAGTGGGAGCTGCAGGAGGGTGTGGGGTGATTCCAGGGTGGGATGGGGAGAGCACTGGCCTGGAGACAGACACTCAAATGCAGGGAGTGGCTGCAAGAGGCAAATTCCGTGGGGGTACTGCAGCTCTGAGCCAGCTTTCAGACAGCAGGGACAACTTCCACGGGGGAGAACAGTGGGGAGCAGATGGTGAAACACCCCATGAGGGAGAGCCATTCACACCCTTTCCCTGTGCCGCCCACAGCCCCAACTACTCCCAAGTTTCCTGAGCTTATTGATTACTGGGTACAAATCTCCATACTGCTTAATTATAACTTGGTTTTAATGCATGTCTTCACACTGTATTTATTTCATATTGGCAATTAATTCCAAAGTGCTCACTGTGCCAGAAACGTTGCAGGGTGACTTTCTGAGGTCTTCAGCTGAGGAATTTCCACTTAAAAATGAAGAAATATGAGAGTATGGGTGTGGGAGTAAGTAGTGGTGGTGGTACCTGCTAAATGCATGTTGCAAGATGCTCTTGAGAGCAAAGTTTGTAGTAGAATTATAATGAGCTGAGCTGTTTAGGTGTAATTAAAAGAAAGAGTGAGAACTTGCATGGAAATCCTTTTCTCCAAGCTTTGGGAAGCCTGCTAATAAGACATAAACATTTAGCAGCTCAGCTGGAGTATGGTGTGCTCTTTTGTTAAACATTAAAGGGGCATTGTCAAGTGTTTTAATTAATTAGCTAGGTTTTAAATGAAATCAAATCAATTTGGGGCAGTTAGACTCAAAATTAATATTGTTTTCACCTGGTGGGGAATGTCCTTCGAATTCTGAGGATCTTAAAGACAATAAAAATTAAAAATACCTTAAAGAAATTGCATCCATATGGTTCCCTTTTCTCAGAGAATGGCCAGTATTCAGATGATCTGGAATTACTGTCATTGCTCTAGAGCCTTTTATGCTTTGTTTTCTACAACCAGCATTAACACAACATCTTCTAGACATGCAGTACTCTTGTCAAACCTGGCTGGTACAGCATTGAATATACTGGTTTCCCTTTCTGTTACAACTACTCATGGTGCAACACAGCCTTTGTGCTAACAGGTAAGTAAGGAAGGTGGGTAAGTGAGAAATTTTATATGTCATTAATGTGTTTGCTGAACAAGAGTGGGATATGGGTATTATATGCTCAGCCTCCAGTACCTGTAAGCCTCCTGCCCACTTTTGACCACTTTAGGTAGTAAGACAAAAATTTCAAGATTTGCAAAGTTCCTACAGGTGTTGTGAAAATCCACAGCTGGGGTGGGCAAGATGCTTGCACTGAAGGGAGGTAAGGCACAACAAGATCAGAGTGTGAGGCAACTGATGCAATCCAGTTCTCCGGCTTGTGGAGGAAAGGGATTTCTATTCTTCTTGCTGTTTTCTGAAAACAAACACTATTTTCAATATTGTCTTTTCAAAAGTGAAAAAAAAAAAAAAAAAAGGCAAAAAAACCCAAAGAAACAAAGTGAGAATGTAGGCACTTCTTATTAGGTCAGCACAATACCATGTATTGTCTTAGATGCTTAGAGTTAGATTTAGGGGGGGGGAAATCAACACAAGCTCCCTGTGACACAATAGGCCGTAACTGCTGGAAGCTGTTATGTGCTATTATGCGAAGCCGTTACAGTCTATTGAGTAAATAATCTACAGATTAAAGCTTTCTAAGTACACAGTGACTTGATAGGTAACCACAGAAGCCATTACGATATGTCATGTCAACAAGAGGAGGATTAAGGTCCCTCGCTCTTGGTGCAGTGAGAGAGTCTATCTGCTGGTGTGAAACAAAAGCCGTTGCCTTTTAAACACCCTGCAGTGCAGTTGTGCTCTGGGGACTGGGGATTCGGACAGAGGCAGCTGCTTCTGCCCTCATTTATTGCAACCCAAGGATGGTGCTCGCTCTCCAGCCTCCCAGGCTCACCTGCTCCTGTGCCATGGTGGCTCGAGCCAGGGCCATCTGCCACGGAGAAAGGAGCAAACCAGCAGGTTGGGAGTAGCTTCCAGTCCTCTTTATGGAAATAGGGAAGAGTGTTTTCTCTCTGAAATCTGGGAGCAATGAGTGTGCAGAGAGCCTGGCTGTGAGGCAGCAGGACAGGAGGATGTAAAGCCCTGTCAGCCCATGCAGGGGAAGGAAATAGCATGCTTGGTGGGGAGCCAAGGAGTTTTCCTAAAGCCCAAGAGATTTCTGCTTTTCTCCCTTGGACATCCATCCATCCATCCACCCACCACCCATGACAGGGGACCTGGGATGTTTCTTTTCCCTTTGCAGGAGCCCAGCTCAGAGCTTCCCCAGTCCCCAAGGCACGCAGGTTCATTGGGAACCCCACCTGAACCTCCTCCTTTTGCAGAGGCCTCCTGGATAAGGCACATCCAGCATCCCGCCTCCCCCCCAGCATTTAATTACTCCAGGTTTCCAGTCGCTCTGGTGAGTTTAATATGAGCTATGTAAATTCCTCCCAAGAATGATAGGATTTTGACAGCCTGATTTGCCTCGCAGGCATCCTCAAACCAGCTCATTTTCTCTTCCCTGGAATTTTCGAGTGGTCGGGTGGCATTTGATTATCATTGGCTGGCATATCTGAGCTCTGGGGTTGTGCATAAAGATATTTTAAATTTAATAGGTTTAAGATGTCATTATTTCCATGCTGATGAATTTATACTTGTAACCAGAGAAACTTAGAGCATTTAATGAACTTATTTAGATATCATGGTGCAAGCTTTAAACCCAATCCCCAGTATAAAATTAAATCATATTGGATAAAAACTAACACCCAGAAGCAAAAACTGAACTTGGTTAATGGACAAATTTCAAAAGACAGAATAAATACAGACATAAGGCACCTAGGGGACAGATTTACTAAGAGTTTTTGCACTATTTTCAATGGAGCTTGTAATAGCATAAAAGTATTAAATCTGATTTACTAGAAAGGATTTGTATAGTATTTTGTTGCCTGTTTCCCAGTACTGCAGCCCCTTCCCCATCTCTCCCAGCTCTCTGACAGGAACTCTGTTCACAGCTGAACACAGTGGAGTAAGCTCCAGTTTTGCCAAGGAGCCTGCAAGCAGCCAGAGAAAAAAGTAACGCAACTATTCGGTGATCCAAAAGGATTGACAATGTGATTCTATGAAAATCAATTCTCATTCCAAACAGGTCAATACAGAGCAGCCCTGCCAGGCTGGCTGGGAGATGGATGCTGCACGCCCAGCCATAGGACAGTCCTTCCTACCTGCCCCAGTTTGCTAAGGTAGGTTTGAGATATCATTCCCAGCTTCTTCATGTCAGAGCTTTTCTGAATATCTTCTAAATCCTATGAGCTTTCAGAATTTGTGCAAAAAAAGTGTCCGTCCCCAAATGGGAGATTTCAGTTTTTGCTGTAGTTGTCCATGTCATGTGGGGTAATGACACACAGGTCAGGTTTGAAAGTACCAAAAGTGTCCTTTTGTTTTGGGGGGATGAACATTCAGAGAGTCCAGATAGGGAGATTAAGTTCTTGATTTATTTCTGATGACCTCATTCCAGATGTAAGTACTGATGAGTTGCTCTAATAGTGACTGCTGTTATCAAATTCAGCATCCTTATGGAAAAAACACCCTACCACAGCTATATTTCATTTGAAACAAAGTAGCTAGAGGAGAAAGAGGAAACAGATTAGTATGAAATTGGAAGGGATTAAATTAAAAAGTTTTAAAAAGCAAGATAGGTGACCTTTTCTATATTACCTACAATCAGAGATTGCTCATTTAATGCTTACTGAAAGCAGACAAATGCACCAGAAAGCAGCCAGCAGGGCTGAAGCACAGAAGAGAATCACTAAAAGGAGTTAATGGGACTAGATTTTCGCAAAATTAATCTTCTATGGATTGATGACACATAAGAAACAAGGACTAGGTATAAAGTCCTATATGAGTTTTAGCAGTGAATGGAAATTAGAATAGCAATCCTGCAGGTACCTGTGCTGGACACTGTCAACATATTCAGAAATTATGTGGAACAAAGACATGAGTGGTGGGATGGTAAAGTTTGCAGGTGACACAGATTTGTTGAGAGTAACCAGATTTAAAGCAGAAATTTGCAGAAGGATCTTGCAGAAATAAGTATCTGGGTGATAGGAACTGGCAGGTGAAAATCAGTACTGATAAGTGCAAATTAATGCCCTTGTTGAAACAGGTCTGCCTACATACACAGAATGGTGGGCTTTGAATTAGCACTTACCCTTAAGCAGGAAAATGTACTGGAGCCTTTGTGGCTCTTCCTCTCCAAACGCTGGCACCATCCTCATGGCCACGGGGAGGATGGAGGAAGGCTCCAAGAGTGAGGGGTGTCACTATGCCAAGGTCAAATCCCTGCACAGCCACACCTCTGATCCTGCGTGCAGGTCTGATTGCCCACTGCAGAAAGGCTGCAGGAGAACAAGAGAAGGAACAGGGAAAGCAACAAATCTCGGACACAGGCAACAGCCTCTGTGACAGGAAAAGCTCCCTATGTTGAGGGCTCTTGCTTGGAAAAGCCATGACTGATGGGGAAAGGGTAGAGGCCTGCACTGTCTTGAGGGACGTGAAGGTGAATAGGAGTGAACATTGCTTGTAATGCAAGAGGGAGAGTGCCAAACTCCTGGTCTGGGGAGAGGAGGGCTCGCTTTTTAATTTCCTATTCTATTTTTAACTGTAACAGTCAGCTTAGAGCATGTTGAGAGGAGGGCAACCAGGATGGTGAAAGGTTTTGAGGGCAAGACTTGGAGGAGTGTTCAGGTCACTTGGTTTATTCAGCTTGGAAAAGAGAAGGCTGAGGGGGAGCTCATGGCAGTCTACAGCTTCCTTGGGAGGGAGGGAGTGGTAATGAAGGAGGAGCTGCTGATCTCCTCTCTCTGGTGACCAGTGATAGGACATGAAGAAATGGGATGAAGCTGTATCAGGGGAAGTTCAGACTGGATGTTAGAAGAAGGGTTCTTCCCTTAGAGGGTGGTCAGTCTCTGGAACAGTTCCCCCACAGCACCAAGCCTGTCAGAGTTCAAGGAACATTTGGAGGATGCTCTTAGTCATATGATTTAGCGTTAGGTGGTCCTTCAAGGAGCAGGGGTTGGACTCGGTGATCCTTATGGGTCTCTTCCAATATTATTCTATAGAATTATTCTATGATTCTATGACCAGCAGCCAGTAGAGCGGGTCAACAATTTTCCAGCAGAATAGTTTTCCGAGCTACTTTCTGTTGGAAAATGCTGATTCGATGGTACCAAGACGCTCTGTGGGAACACGTCAGTGCCATCAAAGCTGTCAGCAGAAGCCAGATATCTGCCTGGCCTCCTTGCCTGCTGCCCAGCTGGCTGGCTCCCTGGGACAGCTGGGCCCCTGCACTGCAGCCAGCAGCCCATTTGATTTCTCTTTACTTCTTCATTGTTCTATTTCTATTGCATTTTCCCCTACATTTTCATCTTTCTGTTTTATATCCAAGGTACTTACTGCATTACAAAATCCCCTGTTGCCTGTCAGAACATCAGGTGCCAAATCAAAGCGCAAGTCACTCAGTGATTTTAATTTATATTATAATTTAAATGAGCTTTAAACATGCATTATAAGGTATAAAAATATACAAACTAAAAGAACACATACAACAAAAAGTTGGTTTTGGTTTTATTTGTATATCATGTCATATATTAACATAAAGTCATAGTTTCTGTTGTACAAAGGTTGAGCCCATGAAACCAAAATGATACATTATATTTAAATCTCTTTCTACCTCACTGGGCTAAACTGAAATGACATTTTTGTAGGATACAATTTCAGAATTTTGCTCCCTGGGCAATTTCAACATTTTGCAGTGTTCGGTTGCTTCGTTTCACAGATGTTTCCATAAAGAACAGGAAAGACAGAATGGATGTTCTCTCTGTTGAAATGAAAATACCTGTTCTCAACATGAATCAAGGCTAATGTATGACACAAAATGGATGAGTCAGATTTTAAAGATAGGTGGAAAATCAACCATATCTGGGGTAAAATGAACAAGCAAACCCCATGTCCTAATCATCACATCACTGGAAACAGGAGCAGGAGACACGATGTAAAATACCCATCTTTGTAATCCAAGATGGAAAGAAATCAGAAGAAATAAATAACTTTGTGATTTGGGATGGTTTCTAGAATTTTTGATTTGCCTATAACATACAGCAGAGCAGAAACCTTCATGTAGGTGAATAGTGCCTGTGCTATGGATGAGATTGTCTCTGAGTGCTGGTGGTACAAAAAGCTCCCATGAGATAACCAGGCTTTATTTGTAACTAGATAAGCCACTCCTTTGAAAGGCTCAGCATGCTCATTTTGAATGGAAAAGCCTAAGTTTGGCCCATAAAATCACATGAATTATTTGAAAGGTTGATTTAGAGGTTGTTTATCTGGTGAGCTGGTGGTGCTGGAGCAAGTTAGTGCAACTCCTGCGTGCAGTGAGCTGCAGGAGGGTCTCTGCCCAGTGTCCTCCATAAGCTTATGAGACTACTCATAATAAGCTTATGAGAGGGTCACAGTGATACAGGTGATGTTTCAGGTAATAAAAGATAAGCCACCACACCATCATCTCCAAAACTGGTGGTCATCACTGTCACTTTTCTCTTTCTGTGGTGATTACTTTCAAAAAACTTTAACAATTGTCTGAGATAACTTCAGCACATGGAGCCGCTGCTCCATGGGTCACCATTAGCATTTAAAATTAGATGAACAATTAGCCTGTGAGCTTGGCACTTGGATGACTGCTGCCTCAAAGGTGGCTGCAGGTACAGCCCAACATTCTCAGGGTCACAGCAATGCTGGTGGGATGAGATGCAGTGGGATGCCCAGAGGAGGTGCCAGCATCAGCAAGAGGACTCCGGGATATATAGTGTTATTTATTATGCCTTCAATTGCTTTTTCTTCTCCCCTTCTTCATCAGGGCACTGGAGGGAACAGGAACATGCTATCTAATTTCCTAATTTTCCTGTCAGCTTCCTGGTTTTCAAAATGATTGCAGCAGAAATCTATAAAATGAGGATGAGGGAAGCAACCTTAATACCACTGTAAATCTCCAAAATGGATGCAGAAACACAGTACTCAAATAGGAGTAAATAAAAGCAAGAAGAGATTCATTCCAGTTTTCTTCTCTGTAAACCTACTGGCAGCTTGGAATTATTCAGAAAACAACATTTAACTGAGAAAAAGGGAACCCTGTAAAATAGTAAAGATTATACCGTAAAGCTAAGCACCCTCCATAAATCATGGCTGGGAACATTGCTAAGTTATAGGAACCTGCAGATGGCTGTCATTAAAGGCAAAGAGCTTCTCCCAGCTTGGCAGGCCGTGCTGCGTCCTGGTGTGCAGCTACAAATCGAGCTGCTTTCATGGGGGAGTCGCAAAAGTGGTTTTAAAATAGGAATTTCAAGCAGAAGCTGCGTGAGCCGTTCAGCAGGACTCAGGCTTATTGCAAAACCACAGCAGTAATTTCAGGCCTGATTTACAGGAGATTCTAATAAACCTCCTCTGTTTAAAATGATATGGCAATAGTTTATCACTGGTGCGTGTCCAAGGCGAGAGGAGCGGGTGTGGGGCAGGGTTCCTCCAGTACCAAGTCTGGTGTTTACGTCCACCATAAACAGAGACAGCCCCTGCCTGTCCTAGGAGATGAGGACTGCTGGACCAGGTAAGCTGCTGGGGGTCCTGTCTCCCAGCTGATGTTTGGGAATAAGTCAGGACAGACCACCAGGCTCCTTCCCTGCTCTTAACACATTCTTGTGTGCTCACCCAAGGCAGCTCTGGTTTTCCCTCTGGGATGAACCCGTCTGGGGTTTCGACTCGAGAAACAGCAGGGGAGATGCTCAAAACAAGCCTGCAAAGCTCAAAATAGCACACACCAGCTGCTGCTGCTTTCAAGATAAAGATGTCACCAGGTGAGCTCCTCTAGGATTATGTATTAAGCCACCCCATGACACAGCATCAAGACACTCTGCAGCCCCACAGGGCAGTGTTGTCTCTACCCCAGCCAAGAACTGAGGGTGTGGGGGGATGTCTGTGCCGGTGCTCAGCCACGGGGTACTGGGGGGACAGCTGGGGGACAGCTGGGGGGAGCCAGGGCTGTGCTGGCTCCCCAGGAAAAGCTGTGCCAGGCACTGCTTGCCAGAGGCAGGTCACACTATCTACTTTCTTGCAAGAGCCTCTATGGAGACTTAATCTTAAATACCACCCTGGGGCACAAGCGCTCTCTGTGGTGGTCCTGCACCAAGAGGTTCAGATGTAGTCTGTCAGTTCAAATACCCTGTGTATGACAAGGTCTCCATGAACCTACCTTTCTTTTCAGGTTGGAAATATTTAGCCACACTTACCCAGGGTTCACGGCTTTTCAAGGTCACCGTCTCTAACAAGGTCAGTAGCCTTTTCTTATACAAAATGGCACTGTAGCTGATGGCATTGATTTTAAATCTCCCCTGCCCCAATCTTCCCATTTCTCTTGTATCATTCTGACTTTTTCAGCATTTCTGCAAGAGCATCATATGCCTGCAGGTGCTGGCACCAGCTTGCTGGGCTCACTGCTCAGTGGGCCAGGGGCTTTCCCAGGTGCTAGCCAGGCTTCCTGCAAAAGCTGTTGTCAAAACGCTTTCCAAAAACATGGCCAGGAGGAACTGGATCCCACACCATTATTTTTCTTCTCTGTCTCTGGGTGAACTGGAAAACTGCTCCCTGCATCTCTAACAACTGTGTTTAGCTCCTTGTCACAACCCCCTTTGTGCATCGGTAGAAAAGGCATCACCAGCAGATGCAATTTCTTTCAGTGCTGGAATTGTGTTTATTTTACTGGAATTGCACTCCATTTGTCTGGTGGCAAAGGGACTAGGCAATTTCTATTGGCAGCACTGAATGTACTGAGATTGGCAGTGCTCGGGCACTCACGGCTTGTTACCCGAGGAAACTTCAGAGCATACTAATTTATCCCACCACGGAGCAGCAGTAGAAGAACCATACAGATGGTATCAATCAGTCTTACATTAGTAACACGGTAAACATTTTTTAAGATGGTAAAAGACACAATAAATCTGCTTTATTCTCTTTCATTGTAAGGTCCAGTTCTTCCCTTCCATCATAGAAACAACTTCCAGGTAATGGAAGGGATATTGCATTCGCTATTCACAAATCACAGTTTGACCTATTATTTGTAATTTTCAGTGCCTCCCTTCTTATGCGGTGTTCATAAAATGAGATTAGAGTGATTTACAATAGTGAGAGATGGAACAAGACTAAGAGGAGATGTGACTCATTAGACATAATCCTGAGGCTGTTGGAAGGAACTTGCTTCGCTCAGGAAGATGTGCTGTGATTTTCCAAAGCAGTCTAGGGGATTTAGATGTACCTTTGAGGGGTTTCAGCACTGAAAACGTGACCCAACATAACCCACTAGCCCTGATTTTATCTTTCATAAAGCCAACCTAGAAATTCAGATTGAAAGTTCCCAAGGCCCACTAGTCTTCTTCATGATATTGTTGTAAAATAGTGCCCTTTAAATGTTGAGTCACCGAGTTTTTCATAAGTGAAAAAGATATTTTTATTTGCGTTCAACATGAGGAAATTATACTTTGGTTGTAATTTACAGTGCTGTGAAATTATCCTTATTAGTTGTGGGTGGCGTGCTTAACTGCTGTATCTGAACTTAAGAAAGAACTTGCTTCCCTAATCCAAACCAAAAATGCTCTCATCTGTCCTGTTAACAGGTATGAATTGGGCTTCATCAAGTAAATGAAAAATAAACAGGAAGAACACCCAAGGGTTTATTTTAATGCACAAGGAAATGAACTCCAGCAGAAACCAGTCCATCTCCTGGAGTCATGGATGGTGTTGGGAACAGGTGGCTGGGCTCCTGTTGGGCCATTTGGAGAGTGCTAATAGCCCCCCTGGTTTAGTATTTCCTCCTGCTTGGTTTTCTCTCCTTGAGCACCCACATATTTCTACCAAACTGTTCAGTGCATCTCCCTCCCCCCAAAAAAATTGCATGTCAAGGAGCAAGTGCTTGCTTCTGTTCTCTCGGAGCAGACAGGATCTGTAACAAATGACTCACATGCAGTAATTACAGTCTATTTCTTCCTATCTTGCATTGATTATTCTGATGTGGAAAGAATAGTTTTCTCCTGAATAAAGGAAAAGCTCTGAAGACCCAAACACTGAATCGCTGATTTTTTTTTTCCTATTTTTTCCCCATTTCTTTGTTTTTCAGGCACTGTTTATAGACGTAGTATAATGAGGAGATGAAACATTTATAAACAAAACCTCCTGTCAGAGTACTTGTAGTTTATGTTTGCTTAAAGGACAATTTTGTGTCACCTCTTTGTATTTTAATAGTCAAAATAAATTTTGCATAATAATTCAACTCCTCTCTGCTGCCTGTAATGACTATCTGCATTTTTCTGATGGATGTTTGTATTTGTTTCCTATGATTTACATGACCTGACATCTCATATAATGAGCTTCCCAGCACAAATGCCATTTGTGATACTCCATGCAGCACTAATCTATCATTTGATGACCTTACAAGTGCTGGGGTCACGGATTCAATCAGTGAAATGTTTCAGGGTGCAATTAATTAATTTCCCCCTCCCCACTCTACAACTGTTCACTTAAAATTTGATGAAAGCGATGTTTTTCCGTAACACTTCTTCAATACATACGGTTTGTTTGTGTAATCAATCACGCCAAGTTGGGGAGTTCTTAGTATTCATGGGTTTCTCTTGCTCGAAACTTCCAAATGTTTATTTTCTAGCATAATTTAATACTTTAATTAACCAAACAACTAGCTACTGTACGTTTTAAAATAGACCTAGGTTGTGATTTAATAACGTGGTTTTGTCTTTTCTAAAGCTGGGCTGGATTGCTCCTCATGGGCTGTGGAGCCACTTGGGCTGTGACCGACACTGCTGAGCTGACTGTGTCCCGTGTTGGCCTTGCTGAGCTGTGCTGTGGCCTGCTGCAAACCCTGATGGAGCTCTTTGCTCTCTGCTCTAGGCTTCTTATTAAAAAAAAAAAAGAGAGAGCTTGTGGTCTTGGTGTTTAGCATCCTTTTCTTGCTCCCGTGTTGCTTAAGAGCTCATGCAGACGTCAGGAGGGAGAGTTGTGGGTGAGGGTTCTCTTGCACAGAGCCGTGGTGTTTTCTTTCTGTGGTTCAGGGCACCCTCTGGAGATGTATGGCTCATTTTCAGGAGTCTGTGAGAAACAGATAGCAAAACCTAGGCTTAAATTCCCTATCCTGGGATTAGCAACTTAGAATAATAGAATCATTAAGGTTGGAAAAGACCTCTAAGATCACTGAGTCCAACCATTAACCTAATCCTGTCAGGTCCAGCACTAAACCATGTCCCTGAGCACAATGTCTACAGGCTTTTTGAACACTTCCAAGGACAGTGATTCCACCACTGCCCTGGGCAGCCTGTTCCAATGCCTGACCACCCTTTCAGTGAAGAAATTTTCCCTAATATGCGGTCTATAACACCCTGTTGCAACTTGAGGACATTTCCTCTTGTTCTATCACTTGTTACATGGGAGAAGAGACTAACTCCTACCCCTCTACAACCTCCTTTCAGGTAGCTGTAGTTGTTCTGCTGTCCCAGCAGAAAGGTGCTGGGACCTGCATGCTGAGGAGCACTGACACGACCTGATGCTGTTGTTGTAACTTCTGCTGGTCCCAGAAGCCTGGCTTTCCATCAACCTCCTCCAAAACAAGGGCATGAGCTTCCTGGCACCTGAGGAACATCACAAACCTCAGCTCTCCACTCCTTCCACCAGGAACTGGTATGACTCCTGATCTTTTTAAGGCAAAGGGCTTCACTTTTTGACAGTTCTCACCCTGGAGATGAGAAACTCAAAAATCCAAATTTTGCTGCTCTTTTGGGGCACTAATTAAAGATATGTCAGTGTGAGGAGTTATCTAAAGGGCTGCACTGTATAGGTGAGGCACAGTCACATCCCCAGCCCTGCTGTACATTACAAAGGCCTGGCATTTTGTCTCTGCCTTTGACTTTATGCTGTGTTTTGTAGATTTTTGCTAATAATGGAAGCAGGTGTATTTTTGTGCATATGCAGCCATCTTTTCACCTAATAATGTGAGTTTCTAATTTACAGATGGCTCTGGAACACAGTCCTCCAGGACCCTGTTGGGAGAAGGAGATATGGTCTTTGCCAGCAGCACTCAGGAATAAGCTTCTTGCAAGGAGCAGAAAGCCCTTGGTGGCTTTGAAATGAAATCCCTGAGATGCTGTTATTATGTTAACAAGTTTTCTTTTATCCTATCAAGGTCTTAGGGAATCTTTCTATTGACCATTAAGGCAAAGCAAGACAAAACATGCTGAAATTGAGATCTGAATGCTTACAGATGAAAATCCTATAATGTTATGATTCTACTTCTCTTCAGATAAATATGATTGTTTCTGCAATCCTGCTGCTTGGCTTACTGAAGCCCAGGAAAAGACTTAGAGGGAGAGAAGACAGAGATATGAGGGAAAAAATAACAATCCAGACACTATTCCAAATCCACTGATAAACTGTGTTCAGAAGAGGCACAGGTATGTCTTTAAGGGACAGCATCCCTTTAGTGCAAAGCAGCTTTGGAAATAACACTGGTGGCATCTCCCTGAGGTTGGTGGCTTTTGTAAAGGGCTTTACATAACACTAAAATCTGTGTGGTTAAACAGGTGCTGGGAACATGTGGGATGATATTACACTCTAACTCAGTCCCTGCTGCTGCTTGTTTGCTGGAGCAGGGTTATCTCACATGATGCTTGCCCTGGTCTGGGTGTGGAGGAGGCTTTGGAAAGGAGGGATCTCGGGGGCAGAGACTTGGGGGGTGATTCCCTACATGGCTTCGGTCACTGTGTCATGACTTGCTAGCAAGATCTTTCTCACAAATGATGTTTTCTTTCCATTGTTTTGAACAGACTGTGGGTGGTAAATCACAGCAATGCTTGGTTGGAATAGTGATGTAGCAATGTGTTTTGCTCATAGTTTGTAGCCATTGATTTGATGGAAAACAGGCAGGGAATGCAGTGGAGTAGTGTGTTAGACCCATCCAACTCTACAGTCTGGCTCATGTCTATAAACACATGTGCAGGCATTTACAGAATTAAAACTTAATGTTTTATTTTGCTGGGAATTGGTTGTATTCAGCTTGAGATGTGGTCAATATTGAGAATATTATGTACATACAGGTCTATATAGACTATAGCCATTGCTACAGTGGGAGAATTGCTGCTGCTGCACAGACTTCTTGCAGTGGTGTTTGGGCTATGAAATGTTAGAGGTCAGGAACAACCAGTCCCAGCAAAGAACAAACTGCCTGAAGCAAAATTTCTCTATAGTGAGAGAGTTTAGAAGTAGTATCTGAAATTAAAAAAAAGTTACTGTGCTTTTTGCTCTATCAGCAGACTTTAATGAAATTTTAAGGGGAAAAAAAATTGCTTCGTGGCTTAAAGTATGAGCTATGCTACTAATCTCTGCAAAGGAGTTTTGTAATTGAAATGCTGATGAAACAGCATCTCCACTGACTCAAATGATGACCCAACAGTGTCTGACATCAGCATATACGGGGCTGCATAACGCTGTCATGATCGTAAGAGTTCTCGATAATGTAGGCATGTTGAAAACTGTGGCTTACACTCTTACCTAAATTCTGGGGGGTTTTAATTATTTTTCACGATCCTTATGGCATCTGTTCTCTGTGTGATACTGTAAGGACTTGGACTGCCTTGGGAGGTCACAGGTATTGCAAGGTTGTCTTTGGGAGGTTCTTGGCATGGCTTATACTGCCTATTGGTAACAGCATTACCCTCTGCTGTCATTTTTAGCTGGACTTTTTAAAAGAGAAATTATTTTAGCACTTATACTGACAGTGTCTGTGGTCTCAGGTTAGGAAAGACAAGAGCACTCTCCACGCTGCTCCGCTCAACCTCTCAGCCAAAGTGTGTTTTTGAAAGACAGTTTCTCAGCCAGGTTAGCTTGAGGGCTTCTCAGCCAAGCCAGGAGCTCAGCTTTTCTCAGCCATCATTGCCCGCATATCTTATTTTGGGGCTTTCCTTTAGTTTGCTGGTTTTGCTCCAGTTTGCACAGCCCTAAGGAAACCAGGACCTTGCAGGGCTGGCGTGCTCAGGGAGACCTGCTCAGATCTGCTCTGTGAAATGCAGTCATCTAATGCTAATTTTTTTTTCAGAATTCTCTACACTTTTCTCTTCTTGAGGTTTCAAAAAAAAAAACCCAAAACTGTGAAGAAAGAGACATATAAATTACTAGTCTCAGCCTGTGCCTTTCAGTGTGTGTTTCAGATGAATACACACCAACATGCCTTCATTATTGCCCTGTTTTGTACCTACCCGTCAGGTGTGTAAAGTAGTGCCAGTATCAGAAAATCTCATCTTCTTCTCCCCTTTGTTTAAAAGTAGGTGAATGTGCAAGCGAGGTATATATAAAAAAGGACTGTAAGAAATAGCTTTGGCTTTTTAAATGGCAATTTCCTTCCCTAAAATTGGAATGCCAATGTTTAAGTGGACAAAAAATGCAATATGTACTCTTGCTGCCTCATAATTTTCATCTGGTCACTGTGGAAACGTTAGGAAGGTGAAGAGGTAAAAAAGGGATGGGAATGGAAACCCATCTTAAAAGGGAGAGCTGGGAGGCATCAGCAAGGACCTGGCTGGTGGGAAAGGCAGGAGAGGGCACTGCACAGGCAGGCAGGAGCTGCCACGCTCCTGCAAGCTTTGAAATAATGCCAGTTACTGCTGGTATTGTCAGATTTCCACCTTGCCTATTTAGACCTAGCCATCGTCCTTAAAAATAGCTCATGTTTCACTTGCCAAGCAGATGCATCTCCATGAAAAGGGCAGTGAGGGGAATCAGACATCCCCTGGTGCCACAGACCAACTCTGTTCTCAGTGCCATGGTGCTTCCCCATGGAGAGATGCTCTGATTCGCACTCCTTATGGGTGCTCAAAACCCTCTTCCTTGGAGATATTGAGGAGCTGACAATGTCACAGACACCCACATTTTGCTGCTATCTTCTGATTCTAAGAGCTTATGAAAAATGATGCTCTCATCGTATCGACTGGTTTAATATTTTCACTTTTTATTTATGGTACACACAGTTCTTTCTGTGCCTTTTAAATGTTACATTAAAATACAGAGTGCCACCAGCTTTAAAGAGTCAAAGCACAAAAGCTCCTTCCCTGCTCTTGTCTCCTATTGTGAGGAATTTGCAAAACTCTCAGGGAGGCTCTTGAATTACAGCTCTTCCTCTTCCTCATGATGCATGGAGAAAATAAATGTATTATTAATC